AAAAAAAAAAAAAAAACACCAACCAAAAGCCAAGCGATTCATTTAGCGCTTCATTTGGTACCTGCAGGCTTTGCTGGGGTCTTTGGTCCTTCTTTCTTCCCCCCCCCCCCCTTCTGTAAGGGGAAGGTGGGAGCCCGATGGCTTTGTTCACCTTCAGGCTCTCGAGAAAAGCTGCAGCTGACCCAAGGCTTGCTATCAACTTATCGCCGAGGCTCGTCAGAGGAATACTAATGAAATAAGAATGAGAATACGCACGTGTAAGAACACACACGAAGCAACGGGTGCGGAGACCGGTAACAAAGGATGGCGCTCCCAGTTGCTTAAACAGGGGGATGTGTCGAGGCCCGAAAGGCACGCTCGGGTACGGAGGCAGCAGGAACGGGCTCGCTAACAGAAGACCCCGCTCTGCCCTCAGGAGGATGCGGCACGGCTGCAGCGCGTCTCTCCTGCCAGCCCCCCTCCCGGCAGCGCTACGATTAGATAATACAAGGGTTACTGCTAGCAAAATAAAACCCTGCCCCGAAAAAATTCCATTCTTCGTTACAAGTCAGGAAGACGACGAGACGAAATACCAGAGACGCGATGACAACTCGGCGCTGTCCCTTATCCTGTGGCACACACCCCCTCGCCAGACCAGTCGAACTCGCAGCAGGGTGCTGGTGAGCGTGGGAGTACGGAGTGTCACCTCGGACCGTGGGTGGAAAATCCACCGCAAGCTGGGGTGAAGAAATACTCCCTTCCCTAAGATCCTGCCCTAACTTTTGTCATGCTAATGTTCTCCCGAAGGACGGGATGCTGAGCACACCCCCTCAGGGCTGTGGGCACAACCTTTGGAAAGTCACTTGGCTTTCACCAAACCTCTCCATCCTCCCGATTCCCCATGGGGAGGCCAAGAAAGGCTGACGGTCTTTGTGAAGCGCCGTGAGGTTTGTTAATGAGAAGAGCAGGGCATTACGTGCAAGGAAAGCGAGGTCGGACGTGACCAGAATAGGAGAGCCCCACGGGGAACTCACGAGGATGAGAGACGCAGCTGCGCTCTTTAAAGTTGGTATTGAAGCTAGACCCAGGACTGCTCTGCTCCTGGAGGAGACGAACGGTGGCAGGGCAAGAAGGGGGCATTTTGGAGGAGACAAAAAAATTAATGAGCCAGCTAATGGTGAATTTTAAGGACCCAGAGGAATTCCCCCCCCCCTCCCCAACCCCTAAGCACGGGGTTTCATCTTTCTCTTTAACCAAGTATCTGGTTGGGTAATTACGGTATGATAACATACAGCTCATTCTGCTTTTTCACTTTTGGACATGGTGATTCCCAGCCTTGAACCATTTTGCATTGCTGCTCACCTCGAAACAACTGTCCGTTGCCCAGCATAGGCAGCTGTATTTCTTTACCTACCCCATCGCTCCCAGAGGTACTAAACCCTTTTATCGCTTGTTTTCTTGCCGAGAAGCCTTCCTGAAAAGCATCTAATTCATTAAGTCTCTTTCACGCAGTCAGGAGCGAAAAAGAAATGCCGTTTGTAAACCAACAGCCTAAGCCGTACGACTCACGCTGGTTCCTCAATAAACACGGGGACTTAGCATTTTGCATCCACCCCAAATTTGGGCTACACTGCGAGAGTTGCACATGTTATTATCTGCTTTGCCTTTTATGACACGACGCAGCTGGTGGGCTGGGAAACTGGCTTTCAACTCCCACTCTTCACAAAGTTGCCAACTGGAAAGACAGAAGGGTTCTGATCAGAGATGAACGAGGAGAGTTTCTGCCTTATTAGAACAGTAAATCCTTTGCTTTTCCCTTTTTCTTGCCCTAACTAACACAGCTGGGGACTCTGCATGGTTAGCTTTTAGTTTGTTTTTTTTTTTTCCACCTGCAGCTAAATACAATATTCCCATGGACAAAATTCAGCTTCAAAGGCCCCCAAGACTTTGGAACTGTTCAGCTCTGGCTCTTTCTACCTCAACACACGATACCACTCCATCTCCTAGACCAGGAGCTGAGCCACCCCATGACCACAACTGTATTGTGGTCCCGGATTCAGAACGATGCTCTAACACGTTTTGCTTGCGCTAAGCAAGAGGCTCAAGCAGACAGCTTGGTGCGTATCAATTAAATACAAAGCTGCGTGAGCTCTCTGCGTGCCAGCTCACCAGCAAAGCAGCCTGCAGCAGAGGAGAACAAAGTGACACTGGCAGAACAGGCAAGAATACAGGAGCATTCCACCCAAAATGCTGGTTGCAACTCTCCAAATGAACGGTCTTCATTAAAACGGAGCTTTCACCCAAATGCCTTTGCTCCCCCCGGCAGCTACAGCTCCCCTTCGCATCCTTTTTTCCTCTCCGCGAGCTCCTTCAGGGCAGCGGTGTGACTGATCAGCCGGGGCGAGCTCGACTCCCACAGACGTGGAAACATCAGCTCATTGCACAGGAGAACATTGGGAAAGCGAGCTCAGCAGACAGGGCAAGATCCGGAGGGTCAAGGGAGCGGTACACACACTGTGCAACAGGGAAAAATAACCCCACGGCGAGTCCCCCGCAGGCAGGGCTGCTCCACGGAGACAGACCAAGCAGCACAGAGCAACGCTGGACACATTTGATCAAGTTGTACGCTTGGGAGAAGCGCAGAGCTGAGGTGAAGGTTGCTCCAACCCTGTACCGGTTTGCAGGAGGTGTTGAATATAGAACAGTGCCCTGAATACAGCCAGAAACCCACTGTGCATTAAGGACACACGCACCCCTGTCCTTAAGCAGGCAGGCACTTCGGTGAGAGTTCGAGCAGTACCTGCTCGGCCCCATGCCATGTCCTCAGCTACCCGGGGAGGAATGCGTACACAAGCGATCGGATTCCAGGCACGAACCCCGCTCAGCTCTCTCTCCTCCAAAGGTTTCCCTCTGCTTCACTCAAGTAGCAAAACCTCCACAGCGCAAATTATCTGCAGGTTTTTTTCCAGATCCTGCTACTCAGTTCCAACACGGATCAGAAGGCAGCTTCCCTCGAGTATCTTGTTTAAAACAAAAAAAAACAAACAAAAAAACACAACATAAAAATAAAGGACAGATCTTCCTTAAGGGGAACAGTTTTATTCACCACTGCAGAGGAGACAGACTGTTTGAATGTTTTTTGGCCCGGGCAGTCTGACTATTATGAAACGTCCCGTTCTAACTGGGATCTTTTCATTGGAGAAGCGCAGGTGCGTTAGAACATCATTCACAAGAACAACTCCATTAACTTCTGGTAACCCAAGGCCAGGAACACGACCGTGGGAAACAGCCAGTAGGTGGGATGGGTTTGAACACAGGCAAACATTCCACGGAAAGAAAAAAAAATAATTAAAAAAAAAAAATCAACACAAACATTCTTATCCCTGCGAAAGCCAGGCAAGATCTTTTCTTTGTTGTGTCATCTCCTCCAGAAACCTGACAAGCACATATTAATCTCTGGCTGTTATCAGCCACGCACGGCAGCTTCAGAACAGTACAAAGGAGGACCTTTTTGAAGGTGGTAAAAGGGCTGCGGATGTTCACCGGGCCCGTCGTGCCACACACACGCATGAGTTTCCACCCCAGTCCCTGCCAAGATGAGACTGGGAGCCTGCGTGCCTTGGCACAGAGCATGGGAACTCCTCTGTCAAACCCTGCTGCAAGGTGGACCGACGTCCCGTGAGGCTGGGACACAAGTATAAGCGACCATTACAAAGCTTTGGAAGAACGGAGCTTCTGTTTCTTACCCCTTGCGCTTCACCTTTGGGAGCAAGTAGACTTATAAGGATGGACTTTGGGAGGAAAAAAAAAAAGTGCAATTCCACTCGCTGTTTCTTTTGGCACTGACCAACGGGTCTTTCCGTCCTCAGATGACACAGTGAGGTGGGAAGGAAGCAAAGCGGATCATTTATCGGCAAACTGCTGCATTCTGCTTTCGTCGCGCAAATCCTCCCCCTAACTTACATTCCTCGCAGGCAGCTCCCCAAAACCTCAACCATCCCCTCCTAAAGCCACAGCCCGGGCTGTCAACCCTTCAGCCTCTCCGGGCGCGTTGTTTTCACGCAAGCTCCTCTCCATCAGCTGTTTCACTTGGACTGAGCCTGGGGGTGGGCTGATCAGTTGGTATACCTCCTCCTCCCGCTTCTGCCATGATGCTGAAGGACAGCACAGGAAATCTACTGCCCCGAGAAGGGTCACCAAAGGGGTCAGAAGCCCCCATGCGCTCAACGCCGCTCCCAGGGCTTTAAAAATGAATCAGGGAAGGGGGGAAGGAACCACCTTGCCCAGAACATCTTTTTTCTAGTAGATCAACACCTTTGACTTGCCAAAGGAAGCCTGTGCCAGAGCCGTCTCGCACTCGACTCCTTGGAGAGCAGCACAAAACCCCGAGCTGGGACTCCCCTTCCTCAGTGCTTTCCCCTCTGCTGCCGAGGAAACCCCTGGGGCTCACCCCAGGCAGGACCTCCCGAACCAGAGCTTCACGACACTGCTCACTGGTCCCAGTAGCTTGCAGAGGTCCTGCCCGAGGACTAGCCGCAAACAAATTCAGCTCAGCCAGATGACCCCCGAACCACACCTCACCCTTTCCATTGCAAATATCCATTTGGTTGGCAAATGAGTTTCACCTGAACGTGCGTCACATTAACAAAGAGTGCTGTCAATAGCGATTCAGTGAACTCACTGACGGAGCAGGAAAGGAGGTAAAAACCACGTACATCGGTGACACAGGCTGCCAAGAGCACGCGCGCCCCTCAGACAGGAGCGCCAAAGGCTTTAGGCAGAGTAAGCAAAACCCAACGCAGAGTCTGACCCAATTAAAAGAAAGATAAAACAAAAAAAAAGAAACGGAATAAGCTGCTTTGTTGAGAC